CAAATGGAGATGTTACTGGCGCCTGCTCAAGCAAATCTACGATTAACGGGAAGTCAAGTGATCAAGTGACCTAATTTGGTAAACACTGGATTTGGAAATGACTTATTAGATCTGAAACCAAAAGTACAGGCAACAAAAATAAATAAATTGGACTACATCAAAAAGTGAAACTTCATTGCATCTAAGAACACCATTAAAATGCCAAAAAGGTTGCGTAAGGAACAGAATAAAATGTTTTCAAACTATATATCTGATAAAGGTCTAATATCCACAATAGAAAAAGAGCTTCTACACTCAATGACAACAGTAAAAATAAAGAATTCCTGGGGCAGGAAAGATAGTACAGTAGATAGGGCATCTTTCTTGATGCAGCAGACTTGGTTTCAATCCCCAGGACCTCACAGTGTGCCCTAAGCCCACCAGGAGTGACCCCTGAATGCAGAACCAGGAGTAAGCCCTTAGCACTGCCAGGGGAGGGAGGGTGACCCAAAAAGTGAAAATAACAAGTAAAAAGTGCTATAACTGCTCTAAAAAAAATGGAAATTTTCACTTCAATGAGAGGAGACTTCATAAAAAATGTAATAGAAAAGCTGGAAGGTTGAAGTAACGTGGGGCTCAAGACAGTACAGGGTTTAAGGCACTTGTCTTGTACATGTCCAACTCTGGTTCCATCCCAGGCACCACAAATGGGCCCCCAATCACTGCCAGAAGCAACCCCTAGCATGAGCCAGGAGTAGCCCCTGAGCACCTCTAGGTGTCCAGTGCACGCATGCGCGCGCACACGCACACACACATACACACACACACACACACACACACACACACACACACACACCCCACAAATTGAGGAAAATACATTCCTAGTATAAAATCAGACATCTGGGAAAACTATCATCAGAATATACTTGCAAGAAACTCGATGAAAGGAGAAGATCAACTATAGGATCCAACACAGGAAATAGGCAAAATCAATTCACAGGGTGAGCGAGTGGTATGACCAGGTCACAGAGCCATGGACAACGGACCAGGAGGTTCCCAAGAGGCACAGACCAGGCTGAACAGCAGCTGCACAAGATTTTTTTTCAATAAGTGCTTTATTTCGAGATGAGTGGCTACACTCTGTGGTACTCTGGGCTACTCCAGCTCGTGCTCAAGGATAACTCCTGGTGGTGCTCAGGGAATCATGTATTGCCAGGGATCAAGCCCAGGTGTCCTACATGCAAAGCCAGGTGAGCCAGCTCTTTGACCCAGGAAACTTAGTTTCTTTTTTTCTTTTTAGGTTACACCTGGCAACACACAGGGGTTACTCCTGGCTCATGCACTCAGGAATTACTCCTGACAGTGCTTGGGGGACCATATGGGATGCTGGGAATCGAACCTGGGTCGGCCACGTGCAAGGCAAATGCCTTACCCACTGTGCTATCACTCCAGCCCCTCTTTCATTTCTTCCTTCCTTCCTTCCTTCCTTCCTTCCTTCCTTTTCTCTTTCTTTTCTTTCCTTCCTTTCTTTTTTTTGACACTTTATTATTTATTTTTGGGTCACAGCTGGCAATGCTTAAGGGTTTCTCCTGGCTCTGAACTCAGAAATTACTCCTGGCCATGCTCAGGGGACCATATAGGATGCCAGGGATAAACCCAGGTTGGCCGCATACAAGGCAAATGTCCTACCTGCTGTTCTATCACCCTGGCCCCCTCTTTCTTCCTCCCTCTCTCCCTCCCTCCTCCCTCTCTCCCTCCCTCCCTCCCTCTTTCCCTCCCTCCCTCCCTTCCTTCCTTCCTTCCTTCCTTCCTTCCTTCCTTCCTTCCTTCCTTTTTCTTTGGGGGAGGGCAGGGGGTTTACATCTGTCAATGCTCAGGTATTACTCCTAGCTCTGCACTCAGGAATCACTCCTTGAGATGCTTAGGGTACCATATGTGATGCTGGGGATGAAACCCAGGTCTGGTGTGTGCAAGGCAAGTGTCTTACCCACTGTACTATCTCTCTAGCCCAACATATATATATTTTTAAAGTTTTGCTTTGTTTTGTTTTGGGGCCGTACCTGGTGAAGCTCAAAGGTTACTTCTGGCTCTGCACTCAGGAACTTCTCTTGGCAGTGCTCAGGGGACCACATGGGATGCTGGGGATCGAACCGGCATGCAAGGCAAATGCCCTACCTTTGTATAGTGACAATAATTGAACACTGAATAGAAATACAGCAACAATCACAAAATGTCCTAACTACACTGAAAGGCAGGTAGCAGGGAAACTATGAAGGGTGGGAGGAGCTGTCAATCAAAATACAGCAAGCTTCATATTTTATAGCAGAGAGATAGGGGTGGAGGAGAGTTTGGTGCCGGGAGGGATAAGACAAATCATGTCCAGAAACCCAAGGTGAGTTGGTAACAAAAGTTACCAATGCAGGATGCCTCTATGAGGTTCAGGGTACTCAGCATTAAAGTAGACCATTCCCTGCTGTTCTTCCACATAGTCCTCAGTGTCCTGATTTCCCCAAAGTGATGGGAACAGAAAGAGGAGGAGGGAGTGGAGCTCTCTGACACACCTATCTGCACCTCCCTGAGCCCTTGTTCTCAGGGCAGCAAGCAGCCAGTGAAGTAAGCAGATAAACGTGTGCAAAGCTTGGGAAAGATTTACACTAAGATCTTTTTGTTTGTCTGAAATTCTGATTTAACTGTGTGCATCCTGTGTGTTTACACATTAACTCTAGCAACCTCAGGAGGTAAATCTTTACAGAAGGTTGAGGGACTCAGACTTGAAAACTGATACTGCAGGCTGGCCACTCCCTTGGCCTTTTGGGGAGGTTGGGGAACAGGCATTCCAAGGTGCTAAAGTCCACAGAGCCAACCAAGGAGACTCAAGGCAAGAGATAGCAGACTTTTTCTTTTCTTTTCCCTTTTTTTTTTTTTTTTGTTTTGCTTTTGGGCCAGACCCAGCAGTGTTCAGGCTTACAATTAGCTCTGCATGCAGGGATCACTTCTGGCTCTGTGTCTGTGGTACCAAGAATCGAACCCAGATCAGCCACATGCAACTGACTCTCTCCACAGAGCCAAGAGGCAGAAGCAGCATTAAGAGAGCCACCTGACTCCTTGTGCTTCTCAGGGCCTGTTTTTCAGTGCGGCTGGTCAAGAGACCTCATCTCTGGCACTGGAACAATGAGAGCCTTCCATGGCCTTCTGGTGTGAACTTTTACCACAAGCATGTATTACTTTTATTTATGTTTTTATTTCATTTATTTTTGGGTTTGGGACCACACCCAGTAATTTTCAGGGCCAACTCCTGGCTCTGCACTCAGGAATCACTTCTGGCAGGGCTCAGGTTACCCATATGGGACACAGGAATGGAACCCAGGTTGGTCCTACGCAATACAAGAGCCCGATCTACTATCACTCCAGCCCTGTGTATCACTTTTTTTTTCTTTTTGGGTCACACCCGGCGATGCACGGGGGTTATTCCTGGCTCATGCACTCAGGAATTAATCCTGGCGGTGCTCAGGGGACCATATGGGATGCTGGGAATCGAACCCAGGTCGGCTGTGTGCAAGGCAAACACCCTACCTGCTGTACTATTGTTCCAGCCCAAGTGTACTACTTTTATAATCAGTAAAAGGCGATACCAGTTTGCATGCTGTAAACAAGAGAAAAATGAGGCTGCAGTGGGCCCAATCATCTGTGAAACAACCTCCCAAAGCTAAGATTCTGCAATTCTCAATAATTTCCTGCTCCTGGTTTGCAAGTCATACGAGGAGCAGGCCTTGAGCAGCTTTGAGGTTTTGCTGCCTGTGGGCCCTTGAGGCTTCAAACCCAGTCACTCAGCACTCACCCACTGGCCCTGAAAGGTGCCCGGACCGTGAGGCCCACCATCTTCCCATTGCTTGGGCTCTGAGAGACCCCTGGATTTGGTGTGGACAAACTCAAGCCTCTGAGCACATTCCTGCCCTGGCCGACACCCCAGTCCTGAAGCCAAGCAAGAGCTTGGCTGTCAGTTGTGAAAAACCCACAGCAGTAAGAATCAGGGCTCCTATCCAAGCAGCACTAGGATTCTAGGGAGCTCAGGGGCTTGTGAAATGGGGGAGGGGGGGGCTATGGTCTCCTGCTAAGGGACAACTCTGTCCCACAACACTGGAGCCCATTCCAAGTAAAAGTTCCCAAGGGTGGGCTCTGGGAGGATGGAAACTGTCTCATCTCTATGATGGGATCCCAGAAGGGTGAGAGGGCTGCTATCCAGACACCCGGGCCAGGACAGAGTCCAGATTTCACCTATCTGCCCTGTGACCTTGGGCAAGTGGCTTCACTAAGCCTGTGGGAGATAAAGACTGCAAACCCCCTGGTGCCAGAGAGGCATTCTTGGACAGGTCTTTGCCTTCTTGGAGAGCCCAGTAGCTGCCTTCTTTCCATTTGCAGTTCCCATAGACCTGGGGCTGCAAAAGAAGATTCTTCCCACCAGCCAGGAAGACCTTGCTTGCTTAGGTCCAAGGATGGGCACGACCCACCAGCCGCAGGAGCCGTGATGGGTCTCCCAGCTCAGCGCAGTGGCCTGGCCCACGACCTTGCAAGAGAACCTGGGAGCCAGCTTCCCCCAGCCACAGTATTTTTCCACTGCACTGCTCGGCCACCTCAGCCAGCTTTCTGCGGTGCAGACAGGAGGCTGGGCGTGCCAGGCCGGGGGCCCATCAGGCACCCACCCCAAAGGATTCTCAGAGATGGGGACAGGCTGTGGGTGAGGGGCGACTGGAATCCTAGAAAGAGGGGAGGGGCTGTCCTCCATACATACACCACCCGGAGCTTGGAGACAGACCCCAGGGAAACCCGAGAACGTGCCTTGGTGAAGCCCTCGGGAAGGTTTTGGGAGATGGCCCCATCCTTCCGTGTCTCCCTTGCCCCCGCCTCCAGTAATGATTAAATCCGCCCCACCGCGCCTGTGCTGGTCCGGGCGCGCTGGTCAGCGTGGGGGAGGAGGAGAGAAGAGGGCGAGGGGAGGGGACAAGAGAGCTAGCGGTCCCGCCCGGTGATGTAGGCGCCGGCGGAGGTGGAGCCGCGACGCGTGAAGGAGTCCCCCCGCAGTCGCACTCCCGGTCCCCCCTCGGAGCAGCCAGCCGCCAGCCCCGGCTCCCGTGACTTCCCTGCCGCCGCAACTCGGGCGGCGGGGACCGCGGGATCCTCCTCTCGGGGCCGGGGGTGCGCCCCCGCCACGCCCAGCCCTTGCCCCTCCTGGTTCCCGGCCGGCGGGGGCGACTCCCCGTGTGCGGGAAGCCGATCCCAGACGCTCGGCCACCGCCCGGACATCTCGGCTGCCAGCCCGGCTGGGCAACCGGGCATCTCGGGGCACCGACTGGCTCCGGCGCCGCCGCCCGGCTGCTCGCGACCCCCAGGCCGCAGGCTGCCGCGCGCCCTCCCCTCCCCCGGCCTCCGGGCCGGACGCCCGCGAGCTCCCGGCACTCCCCAGCCCCTCTGGCCGCCGCAGCCACTATGCTGCCCTGGAGACGTGACAAATTCGTGCTGGTGGAGGACGAGACCAAGTGCAAGGCGAAGAGCCTGAGTCCGGGGCTCGCCTACACGTCGCTGCTCTCCAGCTTCCTGCGCTCCTGCCCGGACCTGCTGCCCGACTGGCCGCTGGAGCGCCTGGGCCGCGTGTTCCGCAGCCGGCGCCAGAAAGTGGAGCTCAACAGGGAGGACCCGACCTACACCGTGTGGTACCTGGGCAACGCCGTCACCCTGCACGCCAAGGGCGACGGCTGCACCGACGACGCCGTGGGCAAGATCTGGGCGCGCTGCGGGCCGGGCGGGGGCGCCAAGATGAAGCTGACGCTGGGGCCGCACGGCATCCGCATGCAGCCGTGCGAGCGCGGCGCGGCGGGGGGCTCGGGGGGTCGCCGGCCGGCGCACGCCTACCTGCTGCCGCGCATCACTTACTGCACGGCGGACGGGCGGCACCCGCGCGTCTTCGCCTGGGTCTACCGCCACCAGGCGCGCCACAAGGCCGTGGTGCTGCGCTGCCACGCCGTGCTGCTGGCGCGGGCGCACAAGGCGCGCGCCCTGGCCCGCCTGCTCCGCCAGACCGCGCTGGCGGCCTTCAGCGACTTCAAGCGCCTGCAGCGCCAGAGCGACGCGCGCCACGTGCGCCAGCAGCATCTCCGCGCGGGGGGCGCCGCCGCCTCGGTGCCGCGCGCCCCTCTGCGCCGCCTGCTGAACGCCAAGTGCGCCTACCGGCCGCCGGCCGCCGAGCGTGGCCGGGGCGCGCCGCGCCTGAGCAGCATCCAGGAGGAGGACGAGGAGGAGGACGAGGATGCGGACGAGCGCGAGGAAGGAGCCCCCCAGCGCGAGCGGCCCGAGGTGCTCAGCCTGGCCCGGGAGCTGAGGACGTGCAGCCTGCGGGGCGCCCCCGCGCCTCCCCCGCCGCAGCCCCGCCGCTGGAAGGCCGGCGCCCGGGAGAGGGCTGGCCTGGCGCGCTGAGAGCGCGCGCCGCAGGGTTCGCGGCCCGGGACCGGCCGGCGATCTTCCAGCCTCCAACCCTGGCCCATCCCGCTTCGGCTCCCCTAGACTCCCCTCTGCTCCCGCCTAGGCCCTGGCCTTTCACGGTGCCGTCGTCCGGTGTCCGTTGTCCGCATCTCATCCTGACGCAGGGGGACGCCTAATAGTCCCTTGATTGTTGGGGAGTGGGGTGGGGGGAGGCAGCAGTATTCGGTGTTCAACTCGGCCTCCCCAGTCAGAAGTCCTACCCTTCTCCTCAGTCCTCCATTGTGGAAATGCCTCCCTGGGAAGCCGATTCCCCCCATCTCCCCCGCCCCATGCTTTACACCTAGTCTCTCGGCCCAGGGACTTCCCTGCTGCTCCCTCCCAGCCATTCTCTTAAGGAGGGAGGAAGAAGTTTTCTTCTTCCTAGGAGGGAGGGTTTCACCCGCTTCCCCGCCCCCCCAGTACCTCGCAGAGGCAGAGGAACCTGAGGGGTGGAGTGTGGGGGGTTGAGTTGGCTGCATTGCTCTGTGCCTGGAGACCCTTGGATGTAGGTTAGACTACAATGCCAGAGCCTGGGCCCTGGTACCCTCCCCCACTTCCAGGATTCCTCCCCCACCCAGCTTGCCTCAGAGGTATCTGTGGTGCCCACTGGTGCTCCGCAGCACGGTCAAGACTGGGCCAACAGAACCTTTGATGGCTGCCCGAGGACGCTGACTCAGCAGTCAGTGGACAGGGGCATATGCCCCTGGGGTGGAGGGCAGGAGGGCGAGGTGGGAGTCTTGTCCCAGGGAAGGATCACTTCCCTGCCCAGTGTCTCTTGGCCGCAAGAAGTCCAAAGATCTGTGTCTCCAACTGATCATTGTAAATAAAACGGCCGCCACTTCAGCCTCGTCACCTCTCCTGTGCTGTTTGATGCTGGGTCTGCTGGGGGTGGGAAGATTATCATCAGAATCCCGAAGGTCATGGGCTGACAGCAAGAAGTAGCCCCCTTTTGCCTCTTCCTCCCTTCAGAAGAGGCTGGAGACCCCCTCCCAGGATTGGGGGACTGAGGAGGGGGTGCTGCTGGGAAGCCGAATCTTGGATGTCAGCAGCAGTGTATGTGTGAACTGCCTGCTGTGAACATCCTATGCATTGAGCCTCAAAGAGGTGCCAGCCAGCTGTCTGTCCCCCTGACACTCAGCCGCATGTGTCCCTGGGGCAAGCCCAGGGCTTCTCTTCAGCCATACACCCTGTAAAATGTGTGCGTGTGTGGCAAGTAAGTGCTGTCTCCCTAGGAGGTGAGGAGGGAGGGAGGGCAAGAGGGTGGGCAACCTGGTTTACTTTGGGAGGAGCTGGAGAAATCTTCCCAGACCTGTGCCAGGCGGGTCCTGAGTTTGGCCGTCTTCTCTCTATCTGTGCCAAGCTGGGCATGGTTTCCACATTTTCCGCATGCCCAGAAGAGTAGCCTTTGCAATCAGCAGTGATCAGAACGGTTGCTTCTTAGAGCTTCCAGTACAGGGGGTACCCCAGGTGCTTCACCCTCTGGGAGCCAGAGTCAGGGGACTTGGAAGATGGGGTGATAGGGACCCACCCAGGCACCTATCTGCACGGCCATTTTTTCCCTCTCAGACGTGGAGGAGGGGTTCTCCCCCTTTTGCAGATAAAGAGATTTGGGAAGAGAGCAGGAGCAGGCACTGAGGCAGCCTCTGGTTTTTGAGATAGGAAGCTGCCTGCCCTGGTGTTGGCACAGAGCAGAGCACTGGGGTGCAGGACTTCCTCCCTTGTGGCTCTCATTGTCTCTGAGGTGACAGGATTATATAATGCACTATATATTATATAGTGCACACACATGCACCCAGCCTCAGCCCCTACTCCACCCTCCTCTGGCAGCACCTCCAAACACACACATACACACACACACACACACACACACACACACACACACACACACACCACCCGGAGTTAGAAGACAAGGGTAAATAGACTAACTCCGCCTCCTAACAGCTGTGAGATGTTGGGGCTCAGTCTCTCTGAGCATCACAATATCTACCTCACAGGCTTTGTAAAATTACATGAAATCCTGTCTGTTTTGAAAACGCTTTGGTAAACAATCAGCATTGCTCCTTTACCCAGAGGGCCTGTCTTTTTCAGTTGTGGTGCCTTCCCACCCTGGACCCCCAGTTATTATTCACTTACCCTGTGATTGCAAGTTGTTTTGTAGATTTACACCTTAGTTTTTAATGTGTTTGGTGAAAGAAGAGCCCTACCCAGCTTCCTTTCCTCAGCAGGTTGAGGATGAGCCAGTTTAGATAAACCAAAGGCTACCAGGCTGAAGCATAGGGGTTGTTTGTTTGTTAGTTAGTTAGTTAGGGGGAGAGGAAGGGTGGGAGAGGACTCACCTGGCAGTACTCAAGCCTTACTTCTGACTGTGCTCAGCGATCACTCCAGGAGATGCCTAAGAGTCTGTTCGTGGTGCCAGAGTCAAACCTGAACCGACCATGTGCAAAGTGAGCACCTCACTTGCTATGCTCAGGCCCCACAGGGTGTGGTATTGGGGGTTCTGATACCCAATCCCCAGGCACCTTTAGTACCAAGGGAGGAAATCTGTCTTGGGAAGCCACATCCTCTCCATCACTTCCGCTTCGGCTTTCTCCCTGATTCCTGACACAGGTCAGAAATGCCCAGGTGCAACATCTGATGCCCCTGCATCATCTCTCCATCTGTGACCAAAAAATGGGGTGAGGAAGAAGGGGGTTCCAAATCATCTTCCTACAGGCCCTGGATTTCCCTGGGGCTGCCATAGTGAGGGATGGAGAGAGGGATGGGAGGCCCTCAACCTCCTGTAACTGGAACACCTTGTTTCCTTTCTCTTTGGGAGTGGATGCCATGACTCCATTGGAAGAAACGGGTCCTGCATATTTTTCTTTCTCTTCTTTCCTTTTTTTTTTTTTGCCACACCCACAGTGCTCAGGGCTTACTCCTGGCTATGTGCCAAGAAATCACTCCTAGAGACATTTGGAGATCCATATAGGGTGCCAGGGGATGAACCTGGGTCAGCTACATGCAAGGTAAATAATTTAGCCCCGTACTATCTTTCCAGGCCCTGCCCCTACAGATTTTCCTAAGTCACCCATGGAGAGATCTCCCTGGGTGTCTGAGGTCCACTGGGCTGGCTCAGCCTCCCAAGCAATGTTGGAGTGAACAAGTAGGGGCTTGCCAAAAACAATGGGCAGCCAAGGACAATGTGAAAGTGTGCCCTTGGCTAGACTCACTTCTAGGATACTGGGGGGTGGGGGGGGAGAGACCAAGTCTCTGCCCAGAATCCTTGAGACCTTGTTTTCAGCTTCCCTGATCCACTGCAGGGGCGCACCTCTGACTGAGACCCTCGAACCACAGCTCCCAGCCCCTAGTGAAGTCAGCTGGCCTGGCCCCCTCACATCGCCCTGCCCCATGGCCCCTCTATGCCCCAAACACCATCCTATGTCCCTGCCTCCTGCCCTCATCCTGATCTCACTGTCTGGAAGGAAGGTCCTTCTCTTTAGCCTCAGATTTTCAAATCCTACTCTCTCTTCTGCGCCCAGCTCAAACGCCACTCCTGGCAACTCTCTCGAATGCATATCCCACCTCCACTCCAGCCAGATCCGGGACGGTCCCTCCTCTCAAACGCACGTGTGCTGGCGATTCTCATGGTTCTCATCAGGTCGCTCCTGCAGCTGCTGTTTCCTGTTAGTGCCTCATCTCTCAGCCTACCTGCCTTCACTTCCCCCCCGTCCCCCCCCCCCCCCCCCCGCCCCGCTCAGCACCTTGACCGCAGCAGAGCCAAGAGCGGTACGCCCTCCCAAGAACGTGCTGAGTGAATACATGAATGAAAGTGCCAGATGGAGGAGCCATCCTGGAGAGGAAACCAAGTGGGTGGAGGTGCAGTCCCTCTGCCAAGCTTCTGTCTGGAGAGGCTGAAGGAGAACTATCCTCAGACGCCGCATGCCAACCGGTGGTTGTTCTTGGGGAGAAAGCTGGAATACCCCGAGATGCGGCCAGGGGAAGAAGTAAACCCTCTGTAATCAGGGTCTTCCCTGAGCTCCAAAGCCCCAGGTCCAGCGGGATTGCTCTCGGGAACAGTCCAGTCCCCGGCGTAGTGCTAACACAGTTCGAGCAGCTCCAGCCTTCCACTCAGGCAAGCTGGCCGAGATCCACCGAGTCAAGGAGAACTACAGTCCAGTTTAACATCAGACAGACAAGCCTGGCCATGGGCAGACTTATGCTTTTGTATATCCTTAGCATAATGGGCTGGAGCGATAGCACAGCGAGTAGGGTGTTTGCCTTGCACGCGGCTGACCCAGTTGACCCGAGTTCAATTCCTTCGTTCCTCTCAAAGAGCCCGGCAAGCTACCGAAAGTATATCACCTGCATGGCAAAAGCCTGGCAAGCTACCTATGACGTATTTGATATGCCAAATACAGTAACAACAACTCTCACAATGTTACTGGGTCCACTCAAGCAAATCGATGAACAATGGGAGGACAGTAACAGTGACAGAATGTTAGGCAGTTAGGCACATGAAGAAAGGTGGAAAGCATTAAGAGATGGGTGGGTGGGTGAGTGAGTGAGTGAGTGAGTGAGTGAGTGAGTGAGTGAGTGATTACCTGCTACTGATAGCAACATTCTCACAGAGGTCTGCCTCTGTGTGTGTGGTGTGTCCACTTCCCCTGAATGCCCTTAGCTACAGACTGCTAGCTTAGGGACCAGCCGGTCTTCAGGAGAGAACAGCTGAAAAGGACTGAGGGACTAACATTTAGATCAGCAAGTCTGTGAGCGGGAGGTGGGCGTCCTGACCCTTGGTTCCACCACCTGCCTGTCCCAGAGTGCATATGAGTTTGTCAGATACAGAGTAAAGAGCTCATCAGCACTCATCAGAGAGAGAAGGCACACAAGTAAGTGAAGGTGAAGCCACTGACATGAAGAACCCAACTGGGCTAAGGAGATAGGAATGAGTCTTTGACAAAGATGCTGAAGGAGGCAGGTGGCTCTAGAAATCTCGTGAGGCTGCATTTTGCCTGCCCTGCCCCCATCTATTCCTGCCTTGTGGCAGCAACTTTTCCTCTGCCTCCCAGACAAAGCATGAAACTCCCCTGTGATCCCCTG